TTTTGCGATACCGCCACCTAAGAAGTTTCACTTCAAAAAGCACTGAACAAGTAAGTACTAATCAAGGCACATTAAAAGGTAGTATCAGTAGAGCAAAAACAACATTTGCGTGTATTTTGTTGTTGCTTCTGGTATCGAAAGTGTCAAAAACTGTTCTGAATTTTTTCTTCTAAATCAAAGCGTGCCATGTGAAATACAAAAAATTATAAAAAATAAAAAATTGAAATTGGAAAAAATAAAAATTGATGCAACTTTCTTTCCTAGTAAATTTGTTTGCTTCTCGAAGCATTGATCCATCCTTTGCAAGGCCCAGTAATCAGCGGTTGTGCTGCTGAGTTGGGCGAACGTTCCAAAAGCTGCTATTCAATCGCTTGTTTTGTATGGAAAAAGGTTTCACATGCAAATGGATTTTAACAATTCAGAATTTTTGTGAGAAAAAATTAAAAATATTTGACATTTTCGAGACCAAATAATTTGAAAATAAATCAAATCAGCTGCTCTACTGATACTACCTGTTCAATGTACCTTGGTACTAATAGAGAGAAAACGTTGGAAATTCGTTCGAAAATGGAAAATTATTTTGTTGGCGTGGCAGAAAGGGTTGTGGTGGGCCCGGGAACATACATATTTACCCCCGAATTTCTCTCGGCGTGCCTGCCCCTACTTACTCCTTAATAAATTATCTTGTAGCGTCACTCTGTAACTGCTATTAAGAACAATCATTTAACTAAATATGGTAAACAAAAGAAAAGAAATTAATAATAAAACACGTGCAGTAGAAATACAGAGCTTCATAAAAAAAGGAAATTCTTTAAAGAGTCAGTCGTCTGTAAACAATATAGACAAAAGGTTACAATCATACTAAAATAGCGACTGAAGCCAGCATTGCGTGCAAGATCTTGTTGCTATAAAAGCTTCTTAGGCAACTTAAAAGTTATCACTAACTGATATTACTTCGAATCTATATCAAGCGGCGTTTTTCAATCATTCAAAATGAAGTGCGTTGTTTACTTATTGGCATTGACACTCGCTTTTTTGTTTTTTGAACAAACTCAGGCCCAGTGCCCGAATGCACCACGTAAGTATAATAATGCAAACATTTTCATTTAAAAGTGAATCGTAATGAATGGACCTGTAAATATGTATTTTCACAGGGGACCCTATCTGTATAGGACCACGGAATAGTGGAAGAGGAGGACCAGGATGCGTACCTGGAACAAGGTGGTATTACAATGAGGAAAGTGGAATTTGCATCAGCTTCCGTTATAGTGGCTGTGGAGGCAATCGGAACCGTTATTGCTCACTTGCAGCCTGTCAGAGAAGATGTTTACCATATTAGATAGGAATTTTATATTAAACTTATGTACACAATGGAATAAATATGTAGTCAATTTGCAGAAATAAACCGTTTTGAATCTTTATTTAATTTAATTCCTTCCTAAACATTCTTTAATTAACAGTCTCACGATTTTTAAAGTCTGAAGACTACAGTGAATAATTATAAGCCCAAAACTACGTAATTGGTCGCGGAAACATATGTATTTGTGCAAGATTTCATCGGTAGCTTCCTTGGTAACAACGCAGTTTTAGCAGCCTAGTCTTAAATCACTATGCAATTTGTCGCGCTGTTTCTAGAAACTACCGACTAGAGGAGAAATTCCTTAAGTGGAATAGATTTTCCACATCTGTAGCATTGCGATGTGAATATATAGGATGTGGACCCGCATTATTACTCCCAACCAACCAACCGCCGCTAAAAAAGTTTCACTTCAAAAATAATAATAATCGAAATCGGTTCACGTGGTTCATACATAAAAAAAAATATATATTCCACTTAATCTTACTAATATTATAAATGTGAAAGTTTGTATGTTTGGATGTTTGGGAAATCATCACGCGGAAACGACTGAACGGATTTGCATGAAATTTTGTACGCAGATTGCTTATGGACCAGATGGGAAGAGTTGCCATCTGTTAAAAAAGTTTAATTTATTTAATATGCGGAAAGGACTGCATAGCTTATGACCAGGCATGGGCAGAGACTTAGCAGGTGCCAAAAGAGCGTAAGTATCGCGTATACGTGTAGAAACGAGAGCGTAACGATGAGAACGCGACCATGCAAAATGAATCAGACACACTAATACATTCTCACTTTTAGCTCACGCTTGTTTGTGGTAGTGCCCATCTCTGCTTATGACCCACAGTGGGAAATAGGTTAATTTTTTGTAAAAAAGTTTAATTAAATTAATACGCGGAAACGACTAAACGGATTTGCATAAAATTTTGCACACAGATAGCTTATAACCTAGGTTGGAAAGTAAGCTACTTTTTTAAGAGTTGCCACCTGTTAGAAATGTTTAATTTAATTAATACGCGGAAATGAGTAAACTGATTTGCATGGAAGTTTTCACACAGATAGCTTATGAGCTAGGTTGAAAAATAGGCTACTTTTTTTAAGAGTTACCACCTGCTAAAAAATTTAATTAAATTAATACGCGGAAAAGTCTGTGGAAGATAGGCTAATTTTTTGGAAGAGTTGCCACCTGTTAAAAAAGTTTTAATTTAATTAATGCGCGGAAACGACTGAACAGATTTGTATGACATTTCGCACAGAGATAGCTTATGACCTATGTTGGAAAATAGGCTACTATTTTAAGAGTTATCACATATTAGGAAAGTTTAATTAAATTAATACGTGGAAATAACTGAACTGATTTGCATGAAAGTATGCACACAGATAGCTTATGACCTAGACTGGAAAATAGGCTACTTTTTTAAGAATTGCCAACTGTTTGAAAATGAAATTTTGCTCAAAGATGGTTTATGACCTGGATTGAAAAATAGCCTACTTCCTTAACCGGTTTTCCGATCAGAACGGTATTTAGTACACTTACTACGGATTTCGGAAGGATGGTCTTAGACTGAAAGTAGGTCCGGTACACAAGGCCCCTCCCATACAAATTGGAATTTTCATATTACATACATATCTCTGGAAGTATTTGTGGGGGAGAACTGTTAGCTGATTTGATTAAATTCAATCTGATTACAGTTAATCATGAATAATTTTAATCTGACTAAACAGTTAATCGTAACCGCGATTAAAAAATTAATTTTTAATCATTAACTCTTAATTTGATCAAGTAGGTTTGGTGATTAATTAAGTTATGCTGGAATTTCCCTGTGCACACAAAGCAAGTTAATCCGGTATGGCTAAGGCGGGTTTCCTCATCAATCTAAGCAATTTGGTGTGCATTCTCATTAAGATATATACCAACAAACGTTTTACAAACTAGGTTTGTAAAGTTCCCAGTTTATGTATTACTAATAACAATAATTATAATTTTTTTATATTATGTGCTTTTTATAAGCGTAAAACACAAAATAATTACTATAACTGGTGTTTGGTTTCAAACTCGGACAAACTAGACAAATTAATCAGATTTTATTTTTAATTGGATTAACGATTAATGTTTTAAATTAATTAAACGTAATCGCAGCCAGCGATTAACGATTAAAAAAATGTTATCATTAATCGTACAGTTGATTACGACTAATTAATTTTAATCGTCAAACGCGATTAACATTTTAATCGTTAATTTTTAATCGTTAATCAGATTAACAGTTTGCCAACACTGTGTGAAATCATGTTCATATTCACGGAGAAAAATGGACGTTTTTGGAAAAGAGGCGTAGCACCTCCCATACTGACTGAAAGTTTCATATTGCATATCTCTTCAAATGTTTGGGGTAAAGCACTCAAGCTTGGTATGGAAATACATATGTATGTATGTATGTGAAACTAATACCATACTCATGGAGAAAAATGAGAGTTATTGGAAAAGGTGGTGTGGCAACTCCCATGCAAATTGATTTTTCTATGCTGCATATCTCTGGAGGTGTTTATTGCAGAGGACTGGAACTTGGCACCGAGATGTGTATACAAAATTAATTCCATACTCATGGAGAAGAATTTGCGTTATTCGAAAAGGGGACATGGTTCCTGCCGTACAAATTTACTGTTTTATACTGCTTATCTCTAGAGGTGTTCATGGTAGAGTACTGGGACTTGGTACTGGGGTATGTAAAATCAATTCTAAATTCATGGAAGAAGATTAGGGTTATAAGAAAAAGGGGCGTGGCACTTCCAGTACAAATTTACTTTTTCTTGCCACATATCCCTGGAAGTGTTTGTGGAAGATTACTGGAACTTGGTATGGAGTTGTGTATACAAAATATATCAATTGCTCATGGGAAAAATGTGAGTTATTAAAAAAGGAGGCATGTCGCCTCCCATACATACTAAAAACTTCTTAATACATATCTCTGGAAGGATAGAAAATCTCTCGAAGTATTTTAAATTTGTTATGAAGATTTATTTTATAAGTGCCGTACTGACAGAATAAATTTCATTAAATGGAAAAGGGAGAGCCGGGTTCGGCCTTATAATCTAAAGCTCTCTTGAGGCATTTGCTACAGTGATGAGAAGTGGTATTTTATCAAGGCCAGGTTACTAAATTTGAGTTGGAAATATTAGAACCCGCCGTGGCACCTCCAAGAAGGTTACACGTTTACGCGTCGTATACATGGAACCATTTTAAGATAAACTTAGAGGGATTGATATCTTTCGTATGCCTAGCGCGCAGACGAGATTTTATAATTTCATAGTTTTTAACGGCCTAAATACCTTAACTCGCTTAAAAAGTAACGAGCTATAACGAAATGGGCACAGAAATAAAATCTAACATCATTAAATTACTTTTCATATTTGTATAAAAGCGCGGGGTGAAACCCGCGGGTGTAAGCTAGTTGATAAATAAATACTAATGCAGCGTAAACACAATAACAGCACCAAGTACAGAAGAACCGCGAGTATAAGAGGCCATAAAGGATATAAAGTCAACTATGATAATGCCCATCATTCACAGCAAAAGTCGCAAGTACAAACAAAATCGTATTACATAGAATTAAAACGGTCTTTAATATAATTTAAATATACATATTTATCCAACAACTACTCGTGGCGGTCGCGGCCGACAAAATCGTTCACATAGAGCAAGTGAACAGTAGCGATTCGCATTTCCACCACAACCCCGATAAGAAAAGAATAGGCACCGCCTCAAAATGGTATTATAGTACCATTGAGAGCCTGGAACACAGCCTGGACCAGTTCTACCTTCGTCAAGTTGCTCAATGCATGATGGATAAGCTATTAAATAATAGTAAAATGATGTAAATAATAAAAAGTTTAAAATATGAGAAACATTTTATATTCATAAAAAAATATATGCATTTATGCAGCCACTTCTATGCCGATATTTTAACAGTTCGTTGTTGGAGATCTCTTTTGAGAGAATACTATTCGGACCTACATTCTGCTGAAAATACAGCACTTACCGGGCAGTATACAACTCTGTGCATACGCCTTATGATTTAACACAATTAGGAGAAATGAAAATATCAAAAATTGAATATTGATTGCTGCCATATTGAATTTTGTAAGTAGCGAAATTCGACTATTAATGCGATATGGACAGCCTGTGACTTTATATAATAAAATTGTAAAAGTATTATATATAAAAAATATAAAAAATGTGGCTTTGTTCTTTATCTACTTACAAACATAGTACATACAGTGACTCAAACAATCATTCACATGCTGATTTATTTTAAAAATTCACAATGTTATCAAGTTATATTTTTTTTTTGCATTTTATCGTACTAAAACTATATGGGCTATAAAACTACGTACCTAAAATTCCTCTAAAAAATCAGATTAAATAGTTGGAAATTTGTATGAGAATTTGTGGAGTGTTTCAAAGTTTTGTATAAAGTTTTATTTACATATGTATATGGTTTTGGTTATGGGTTATTTCATGTAAAAGAGGAAAACGACAAAAAATTTTAAATGCCTTAATTATTCCCATTTTAGTGGAGACCTTACTAAATTACCACATTACTACTACTACTACAAAAAAAATAAAAGAAGCTGTAATTTTTATCTATGGAAACTTTTAATTCATATATAATTAAATACTATACAGCAGTCATATGGGCCTGTCCCACCAGTCACAATTTTAAATATTTTTAAAAATTTCTATGAAGATCATAGCAGGCTAATTTTTAATGAATGATAACTAGTATAGTTATACGGAAGAAAATGCTCAAAACCGATAGAAAAAAAATCGAAATTCAACTGAGTTTATTAGCAACTTAAAACTCTCACTTTGAATGGGCTATAATTTATAGCCTATAAAACTACACACTGGGATTTTTTTTTGTAAAAAATCGGTTTAAAAGAGTTGAAATTTTGATGAAAATTTGCTGAAATTTTGATGTAGATGTTATTTATTGTAGATAAAAAATTACCAAAAAAAAATTGGGCATGGAAAACATTTTTTGAATACCGTAAAAAAATATGGCAAAACACTTTTGTGAGTCACTGTATTTTACAACACAAAAAAAGTCTTGCTTGAAAACTAAGCGGTTTGACTAAAATGCGTATTTTATAAAGAATTAACAAATAAATGTTAACTTGAAAAATATCGTGAATATGTACATATGTATGTGCATACATATGAATGTAAACAAAATCACCATGTGAACGCTTGTTCCAGTCACTATAAAGTATGTACGTATGTAGATAGTTATTTTAAATTGTGAAACAAGAAAATGCACTTGTGTTTTGCAAATATAGGACACCATATGTATGTATTAGGGTGGTACAAAAATGCATGTGGGGGGAAAAGTATGGTCGGAATTTTTATGCTCTCACCCCCCTAGGACTGTTCTATACTGAAAAAATAATTTTTGAAGTGAAACTTAATGTTATCAAGTTATATTGGTTGCGTTAAATATTTAGCCCCAAGCCATAAACTCTGTATCGTTCGTTCGATTTTTAAAAATGAGGTGTCACATGAAAGGGCTTGACCTGCAGATGTGCAGTATGGTTTTAGTCTTTTAAAGGGTTGCCATATATACGAAAATCAAATTCAAATTATTTATTAAGTTAAACGAATTATCCCAATATGGGTATCAAAAGAAATGGTTTTGAATAAGTTGTATTTTCTAGCTAAATGTAGGAGGGTTGCCACCTGTTTCAAAAGTAAAATTTAGTTAAATTATACAAAAGTCTTACGCTTAAAATACTATACAGTACAGAAAGAGCTTACAGAAACACAATTAAAATATTTTTGAGGTGCCTGAAGAGGGTGGCCACCTGTTTAAAAAGTTAAACTCAAATTATTGAAGCAAATCTTATTATTATAGCTCCGTTATGTTTGTCGCACATTTCTTTCTTTCTGGAATTTCCTCTATTAAGTTTCACTTCTTCCGCGCGTAGGGACTACACGCACTGAGTTTTTTTTATTTAAAAAAAATATTTAGATGTCGCTGAAAGCGCTCAAAGGAAAAAAACACTTTTCGTAGAAATGGTATAGCATTCTTGAAAATCAATATTTTTCGATCGGAGAACTCTGTTTATCTTCAGGAGATCCCCAATAATAATATCGAACCATTTATTGAACCATTTTATCATAGCAACTATATTTTATAGGTGCGCCAAAGCCCCAGAAAATGCAATGGGAGTGATAAATAAAAAATCTTTAGTATTTAAAAATGGTTAAATAAACAATTGGATATTGTTATTGGAAGTCCCCTGAAGGAAACCAGAGTTTTCCGATCGAAAAATATTGATTTTCAAGAATTCCATACCATTTCTACGAAAAGCGGTTTTCCGAATATAAAATATGTACATGGAAAACTTTGAGCGCTTAGATATTTTTTGATTTCAAAGTCGGCGATTGGGATCAACTTGTCAAATAACGTTAAACTACAGGCATCTCACCCTAATTTATTTAATAATTTAAATTGCAAATTAAATTTTGCGCTTTCCTTTTGCGAATCTTTCTATTTTCCTTTCAGTGTCAATTTCAATATCTAAATAATTGTACGCGTAAAAGCGATAGACCTATCAGTCTTTCTTCATTCATGGTACTACGCAACCATGTTTTTAACCGGCGAAGGGTTGAAAAACTTCTTTCGGAAGTAGCGTTACTAGCTGGAAGTGTGACCAGAATGCGGAGAAGGTTGTTAATCAATGGAAAAGCTTATTCGTCGCATTTATCAAGAACTTCTGCTGCTGATTTTGGGAATGGCTTTTCGCTTTCCTTATTGGTCCATCGTTCCAGCCACACTTTACACTCGCCTTCCAAAGTGATACCGTCATTTTCTAAGAAAAGTTCGTATCGTTTTCCAAGCGATTTTACGCGTTGGATAGCATTATTATTTTCGTCAGGCGTATTATATTCCCCAATTCTAGATGGAAGTAATAAGTTCAAATCAAAAATGTTTAATGCCTCTTTCGGCCATCTTTCTCGGAGATCGAGCAAATTATTATCCAATAGCGGTATAAATATTGCCTTTCGATAATAATCTTCAGCGTTAGACGCACGATAATTAGCGCGAAACTTTTGTCTATTCGCTCTCTGAGGAAGGACAATGTCAAAACTCCTTAGCGATATCGATAACTTTTGAAAATACATATATCAGAAAAATGTGTGTCAGCATTTTCTCTATAATTTCGAAGAATATTCACAATGCCATTGACTGCTTCGCTAGCGCGACTCAAGTCAAGCGAGGGCGCTTGGAGAAGTAAACTTTTAATTTTTTATTTTTATACCCGAGCGCACTTGTGCACATGGGTATATTAATTTTGTTCACATAACGGTTGTGTGTAACAGCCAAAACGAATCGAGATAGATATAGAAAAATGTATACATAAATGATCAGAATGAAAAGAGAAATCGATTAAGCCATGTCTGTCTGCCCGTCTGTCCGTCCGTCCGTGTACACGATAACTCGAGTAAAAATTAAGATTTTTCAACGAAATTTGGTATGTAGGTTTCCATTTATCCAAGGTAGGTTGGTATTGAAAATGGGCGAAATCGGACTGTAACCACGCCTACTTCCCATATAACGGTAATTTAGAGATATACAAAATCTTCGATAAACCAGTAAATATTAAAGCTAATTTGTTCAAAATTGATGCTTGGAACAACTCTTTACCAAGAAATACGTTTATGATAAAATTTTGGAAAATGGGCGTGGCACCGTCCACTTATTATCACGTATATGTATCTCGGTAACCGTTCTACCAATTTGTACCAAACTCGGCGTAGTTATTGTGCTTGCCACGTAAAAGCAAAAGGTTGAAAATTATTGAAAGCGGACTAAAATTGAGGCCGCTTTACATATAACGGTAAATTTCAGAACTGCTTGAAACTTAAAAATTTCGAAATCTAAGGACTGTAATTTACTCAAAATTGATACGCCCCGGCTTACCATGTAGCGGTAGCTTTCGGTAAGGTGAAAAATATATGTANACGCGTTCGATAGTATTATTTTTTTCGTTAGGCGTATTATATTCCCCAATTTTAGATGGAGGTAATAAGTTCAAATAAAAATTGTTTAATGTCTCTTTCGGCAATCTTTCTCGGAGATCGAGCAAACTATTATCCAATAGCGGTATAAATATTGCCTTTCGATAATAACCTTCAGCGTTAGACGCACGATAATTAGCGCGAAACTTTTGTCTATTCGCTCTCTGAGGAAGGACAATGTCAAAACTCCTTAGCGATATCGATAACTTTTGAAAATACNGGAATTTGTTTCTCCCGAGAAAGAAATCCTCCAATAATTAACTCCCAGGATGTAGCATTTTCCCCGAAAATTTGGAAGGAGAAAATTCAAACTTCGTAAGAGCTGTTTGATACTTTTTTGACAGCTCAACTCCTCCATTTAATATAAAAAATCCGCTACCATCGCGGCTAAAATTATTTTGCACGCCTCTTTGGTGGCTCTTCGATTTTGAGGTAACATTGTGGCGAAATTTTTCTTGAACAGAAGCGAAAGATAGATGTACGAAGAGTTTCAAATGGCAAAGTTTTTAAAAATCAATTTTAAAGCCAACTAAAGGCCGTGATGGACTAAATTACTACGATAATGGACACAAACAAAAGCCACAAGTACAAACAAAGTCTTATTACACAGATTTAAAACGTTCTTTAATTTTCATTTAAATATAAGTACATATTTATCCAACAACTACTCGTGGTATAGGCGGCCGACAATTTCGTAAACATGCAGCACGTGAACAGTATCGATTCGTGTTTCCAGCACAACCCTGATATGTGAAAGCTACGCAACGCAACAAGCTCGGGTTATAGGACCAACGAGTGCCTCGAACACAACCTGGACCAGTACTACCTGCGCAAAATGGCTCCGTGCATGTTGGATTAGCTATTCGATAAGAGTTAAATGATAAAAATGACAAAAGTTATAAAATACTTATGGTGTTTTTGTTTATTCCGAAAAATGTTGCCCGTCCCTGGTGATGTTACACTCATACTTAGTGTTGTCGTTTTAAGCAACTAATAGATTTGCAGGGCAACTATCTGCCCTGACAACGTTTCAAAGGGCAGAGAATGTACTTTTTTTTTGCCTAACTGGAGTGCAACATTTTAGGAAACGAACACAGAATTTTATGGCCGGTGTGCCTTTTAATTTAGAATCGAACACGAAAAGAGAAAACGCAAATCAAAAGGGGACATTTTCTGGTAGAAACGAAAACACCATTAGTATAACATTTAAGTACTCAATTATTCAAATGATATTGAAAAATATTTGTTTTAACATAAGTTCTCATTAAAAATTATGTAGTTAAGCCACTTAAATATTTATTTAAATAAGTAGGTTTTGTATAATTATTTTGGGAGAATATTATGTGAACCTTCTGTCTGGTGTGAATACACTTACCGAGCGGTAGACAACGCAGTGCATATGCTTTATGATTTAATACAATTAGCAGGATTGAAAAAATTAAAAATTTTATATTGAGTGCTACCATACTGAATCTTCTGGGTACTGAAATTCGACTATTGATGCAAAAACGACAGCCTCAGATTTTATATAGTAAAATTTTTAAATAATTATGTAAAAAACATGCATTGTTTTTTATGTACATACATACATACGTATCAGGTAGTAACAAATAAATCATATGTACCTACATACAAACATATACAAACAATGTATTTTGGTCAGAACACCTGTTTTCGTTCAATTTATATAATACTTATGTATATACAGATATGTACATAGACCGTACCTTATAAGCAAAACAAAAAAAAAAAAAAACAGCGGTATACCTCTGAGACTTAAGTATTTTTGCAAGGCAATTTCGAAAAAAATTTCATTATTTTATTATTTTTGGCCGAACCTAGGGGCCGCCTTTTCACATTATTGGGTAACCTCTACAAACATTCGGCAAAAAAATAAAAAATTTTAATTAGTTTTACTGAAATAATCAAAATATGTACTTCCTTAGCAAAAGTTTAATAATTTAGGGTGAGCTTTAATTTATTGAGATTGGGGTGATAAGAACTGAGATGTGGTGCGTAAGTACTAGCACGAGCTACTTGAATGAGCTTTGGAACACAAAAAAAATTTCTCCTCGAGGCAAGAACATCGATATATCGTACTTTAACCCAAATTGTCCCAGATTAATTTTTTTTTTTGATTTTTCGCTTCCTTCTATATACAGGGTAAAAGTAGCTTCAAAGTAAAGGAAAAAAGATTGCTAAAACATTTGATAGTAGTATAGTTGTTCCGATATCGGCCGTTGCCTTATGGCAACACGCGGCGTATTCCAAATGGATTTCTAGAGGGCAGTATTTAGTTAAAATATAAAATAATAAAAACATTGTTTAAAAGTTTTAATAAATTTATTGATAATATATGCAAATTCTACGTTCAAAGCGGGTGTACGAGTTAATTTTTGGTATGAAAAGTAGCAAAATATATTTCAAATATAAACCCACCTCACATTTTAAACAGGCTTCTCGTCCTATAGTTTTACATTTTGCACCGGCACAACATTTAGTCACAGAAGATATAGGGTTTCAGTCATGATAAAAACATAGTAAGGTAAAACCGTTCTCTCAATTCGTCGGCCATGATTTTTTTTTTTGAAATTTTCCAACATTTTAAAATCATATAAAATTGAGAGTAAAAAAAAGGAATTGTTCAAAGTTGTTGTTGTTTGAGATTGAAAATGAGAATGTGTATGTGAGTTTGTGTGTAGAATTTTAAAATTAAATTGTTTGCAAACGTCAAGAATTTGAAAAATTCCTCTCAGCGGTTCTACCTTCCTATTTTTTTTTATCATGGTTCCAGTGTAGAGACCCCCGAGGCTAGGTAGCATCGAGCAGTCAATTAAAGACCGCACAAAGTATGTCGGAATAGTCTTGGACAGTAAGCTGCTGTGGAAGCGCAATGTTGCAGAAAGGGCGAAGAAGGTCAGCAACGCCCAAAAAAGGTCCTCATACGTCGGGCCATAGCAGAAGTTTAACCGCCTCGCGGCACTGTGCATCCCGGGAGCGCTGAGGTCCACTTCAAAGGCTGCTCTTGAAATTTTTTTTACCGCCCATTGACTTATTTGCAGAAACCGTGTTGCTGAATATGCAGGTAGATTGACGGCCATAGGGGAATCCAGTTTCAGAAACTTTGGGCTCATTCAATTGGGGCGGGAAGCGCAGGCAGCAGGGACAAGGCACCTAGATTTAAGTGGGACCGAAGATTTCGTACAACGATTTAGCAGGAGGGATGGCGCAAGAGAATGTAACCTAGCTATATATCACTAAACATTTTCACGGACGACTCTAACATTGCAACGGGAGTGGTTGCCGCAATTTACTGCCGGGAACTGAACGTCAGGCAGGCAGTAAGGTTGCCTGACAATTGCAGCATATTTTACGCAAAGGCTTTCGCGATGAGGATAGGAGCAAAGCTGGGCTACACCAGTAATGGTACATACTTTTTTGGAAAATTTCCACTCAGCAAAAATAAAATCCCCTCTTTTCCCTACGCGTTTAAAAATGTTTCCCCACAAAATTCCCTGTAATTTTTATCTAATAATTCCTCTTAACTTTAAAATAAGTCATTTCCCTTATAATTTTCTTCATAACAAGACATTTTATGCTTTCATTGCAACAGCCTCAAGCCAATTGGACCGGTCAAAGGTGTTTAACACCGTCAGTCACTCCATGCTACTAGAAAGCAGAGAGGCCTCCTCTTTCACACAGGACCTCAAACCCGAAACCCTCCGAGTAACCTTCGGCAGTCTGTTCTCTTTCTCGGCGCATACAACCGAAATTGTCAATAAAGTGCCGAGTCGCAACAAGGTCCTCAAGTTGCTAGCCGGCAGCACCAGGGGCAAAGGCAAAGAAACGTTGTTGGCAACATACAAGACAATTGGCCGGCCTGTTCTGAACTATGCAGTGCCTGTGTGGTCGCCGGGGACTCCTACTAGTCAGCAGTGGATGAAGCTACGGCCTGCCAAAATGCGGCACTCCGGACAGCGACCTGTCGAAGCTGCACACTTCTTGGGTCTTCCGTTACTTGAGTTTAACTGCGGTTCCAAGTACATTCAGCGTAGCCATACGGTAAGATTAATATTCAAAGCAAAGGATTTGCGAGTTGATTTTTTCAATACGAAATTTTTTTAATTTTATATGTCAGGTGCAGTTTAATAAAGCTTTTTTGTGCCCAATGCATCTCTTAAGATTCTTGGATTAATAGATTTAATCCAAAACAAAACAGTCAAATTGTAAAAATTAGCTTTAAAAAGGGATCGATTTTCAAAAACAAATCCGATAAAGAGGTGATTTCGAATTACTGCTTGAAACACATTACTAGAGTTCACTCTTTGATGCGAAAATGCGCAAGGCAAAATTGAGCATAAAATCGTGAACAGTGTAGTTGCTTTGGCTGCAAAATTTCAAACAGTCCAGTCACAGCGCGCTCTCAAATATTCGTTGCGCTTCGTTTGTGCTGTCGCTTTAAAAGTCTGATTATGGCAACTTAACTTAACTTAACGGAACGTAGAACTTAGAGAAACAAAATGAAACAGATTTCGACGTGGCATTAAGTTACGTTAAGTTTCGGCTGTTCAATTATGAGCAACACCCATTTAACAGAATTTGTATGAGAGAGTCGTAAGTTACGTTAAGTTGCCATAATCAGACCATAACTTCCGAACGATGTACGAACAGCACAGTACAACACAGTTTTCTCGCTCTTTGTATTTCAGTCAGGGTTTTAGCCAGTGCTGCCAGAACTTTTTGGACCAATCGGCTAAATTGGCGAAAAAACCGGCTAAAAACGGCTAAACTGTTTCAACTAAATTTCACATATTTTATTTAAATAAATCACAGGTAGAAAGACTAGTTCAAGACAGTGTCGTGATGGATAATCTTTGCTGGCTAAAATTTTGCCAGTACAAAATGAACGCTTCTCTTGCATCAAAATGAACGCTTGCTCTCTCAATTTTTGTGTGTTGGATAATTTTTTGTCGTTATCGAACGCCACCCAGTAAAAATTTGGAAAAGCTATTTCAAATTTTTGTGTTGGCGAACTCAACTAATTTGTTATTTTCTAAGTTTGCGAATAAAATGTCACACTTAAAGCGCAGTTAGTCAACGACGTAGCGTAAACGTAGGTTGGCGTACGTAACACCATATCAAATTTACCGTTGATAGAGAGTAAGAGAAGCAACGGCAACGTCACCGCCATGCGGTGGTGAGTTTTCGTCAACACGCGAATCCCATAAGGTAGATCGTGTCTGCGTCAACCTACGTCTACGCTACGTCGTTGACTGTTAAAGCTTTTAAATTTAAGACATTCATAAAAAACTTTTTATGGAGAAAATCCCCGCTACGGCCTTCCATGATTCAATAATGAAAGGTTTTGAAAGTAGCTTTTTTCAAAAAATTTGCACTCCCTCCCACAGGGATGGTTTTTGGAAGCAGGAGAAATAGGGGAAGAATTCAATCACACTTCCTAAAATGGTAGCTAAATTTCACAAAAAGGGGGGATAATAGTGGTTTAATTATTTAATTTAAACAAGCTTATTATATCGAATATAACCCCTGATTGTTAGTAAAAATAAATTTTATATGCATATATGTACCAAAGTTGCGTACGTCAGACGTCACATAACTCGAGAATGGATGGTCCACTTTGAGCTATATTTTTTTGGTGTGTTTGTTTGCCTTGTACATTTTTTGCGGTACTATTTACAGTTGATGGATATTACGAAGCTATTTGTTTGTGAAAAAGTTATGGAAGTTTGATAAAAAAAAAAATGACAAATAACATTACAGAGCTTACGTTTCTTTCGCGGTTTTGGCTCGATTGCTTCGGATATGGGGTAATTTGAAGTCTTTGATGTTGCACTTTTAGTGTTCTGGGGAGATTATGCCGCCGTCAGAATATTAAACATTGGCTTACACACTTCCGATTGGCGATTCGTGCTGGTCGAACTCAGGAAAAATAAAATGGACACGCAGCCCAGTGGCGTTCAGTAACGACTGACACAGGGAACGTGATGAACATCGTCAAATGAGAAGTGCCGTAAGTTTGAAATTACATCCCGCCTGCGTGTGTTACCATTGGCCCCATGTATGTGGTTTGCCAAAATTATACTACGTCAAAGACCACTCTCAGACACGTCAAGTCTTGCTTTCAAGTCTGCTCGGTTCGTAGGCGAAGGAGGTGAGAAGAGAGGGGAAGAGTACATTCGTCTCACCTCCTTCCCGTAATTGTGATAACGACATCCCGAAAATCACGGGATCGTAAAAAGCGAAAAAATTAACATCCCTAGTGTTCACACAATTGGGATACGATTTGCCCCAAATTTTGGCAGATACCCAATCGTGTGACACTGCCTTTAAACTTGTATTTATACGGATGTTTTTAAAGAATGAACTATAAAAACTAACCAAAATTAAATAACAGCAAAAATAATATTTAAAAACTGGTGCAAATTTGGTGCGGCTATAATTTGTTCGACTACTGTACATAA